GACTCTATAGCTCTCTATCGAATACAACCTCTTGTATACCTCGCGATTGCTCCCCGGAGCGCAGCCCCTTACATATTTAGTTACGTGACTAAAGTTATATAATTCACTACTATGTGACCTGTAGGTTATAACTCTCTAGCGTAGTCCTTTACAGTAATTATTTCTTAGTTCTAAAGTTATTTAAAAAATATCTATTTTAACCTTATAGTAAACTTGAGTAAAAAGCCTTTTCTATCTATATTATAGATATCATATAGCGTAATATTATAGTTATTAAGTTTTCTAAAGATGAGATTAAAATATAATTAATAACTATTATAACTATAAGCTTCATAATAATTGTAGCCTATTCTAGTAGTGTATCTAATAGTAAGGTTAGTAGTATTATAGTCTAGAAAGCGTATAACCTAGCTATCTAATAGCTCTTTTTCTATAATATTTAATACAAAATTTTTTATTATAGACTTAGTAGGTATAAGCCTATAACTAAAAAGCTTCTATATATACTTTATAAGCTTAGCTTTATATTATATAGTAAGTAATTTTATATTTTCCATAGTAGCTATATAAAACTAGGTTTGTTTATAGTAGTAGCACGTTAATGTTAATAATATAATACTAAACTTTTTTATAGCTACTCTATATAAAAGTTATTCTTTAAAATCTTACGTATTAACTACTATAAGCGCTTTCTTAATTAGAGTTATAGTAGTAGAGTTATCACGCATTAAAGTAGGTGGGTCTGTTTTAGGAAGGTGCAGATGGTGTTGCATCCGCTGAACAGTTGCACGCACTGACCACCTACAGTATTCAAGACCAGGGGTGCTGAACTTCATCGGAGCATGGAAATGCCGCACTGGGAACATATCTTCAATCAGGTGCTGGTATGGAGGAGAACCTCGTTATGGCTGAATTAGACATCGAACTTTTTTTTGGAAGGGCTCCATGAGGGAGGAATATGCCACGGACCAGCAGTTCAGAACCTAATTGATGGTCGCGCGGCTGGGAACATAGCCATAATCAACTTTGCTGTAGCATCACTTGCATGCATGGAGCATAAGTACGTTTTGCACCCAACGACATTAGACTCCGTCCTACAAGCGTCGTCCAACAGTCTGTCTACATAGGGCGTTAGACAAAGACAGCATGGCCCTGCCTAGGTTGATCAGTAGCCTGATTGTGCCAAGATCATCCAAACGACAACGTGGAGATATTAAGTTGCGGGGCTTCTCGGAGTCAATACTGATAAGCGCGGCTTTACATCCGACATTCTGGTACCTGCGGCTGACCTAGCCCCTGAGAATGCCAATCTATCCTTTTCCAAGTTCTTACAGATGCGTGGGTTTTCCGGTCCCCAACACCATGATACCATATGTGCGGAAGTTGCCAAAGCCAAATAGAGCCCTGCTGTTAATGAAAGCAACCGCCGATTGCCTGGAAGAATATTTGATCTTCGGCACGCTGCCAGGATGGTGGCTCGGTGAGAAACGGATGTTAGATGAGTCCGAATGCACCGCTCGAAATTTGGAAGCGGATTTTCAATCTGCACGCGTCATGCTTTCGACAGCATCGACTCCCGTGCAAGCTTCATCGACGATTGTGTCCCTCCAAATCAGCAGCGCAACGAGCAACAAGAGGTATGGCTGCAATATCTTTCCGGTGCCATTCAATCGCGCATTGGCTCATTTTCGTCCATTGTATGATTTGAGGATGTCGAACCATTGGCAAGTCGTCGTCTGCATTTTCACAGCCAATATGTAAGGGTGTTTCATTACCGCAATGGATGATACGGTCTTCAATAATCTCAAAAGTTCTCTTTACCCATAGTTCTGGTCTCCTGTGGCTTAGCTGTGATGGTCTCGTTGATACGATGAACCCCTTGGCACTACTGATGATTGTTTACGAGCAATAAGACAAGAAGACGCAGGAGAGATGTGGATTCGACTTAACTTCAAGATTAATGAGGAACGGATATGAGCGATAAGATTGATCACATCATTCATGTGTTGCGGCAAACTTTCGGTGCTACACTCAAGACTGCCGACTTGGAGCGGGAGTATGCTACTATAGACTCCACACTTCACGTACCAGATACAGAGGCGGGCGGACCCAAGATTCATGACTGTTTATATGCTTTGGTTGAGGTAGCATTCCCAGAAGTTGGTGGGCGCCAGCAGCGAAACTTATTGACGACATGAACATTCCATGGGAGCATACAGCTTCATTCCTGGCAGCATACGTCACAGCGTACGGCAGTCTCATGCAAATTGCAACACTATAAAAAGGCGAACGCATGCTCATTGATGCGGCGGCAGGAGATACTTGTCAAGCTGCTGAAATCTTTGCCTAGTCCGTTGAGGTTGAAACTGTACGTCGCATGCAGGATAAAGACCAAGAGAGGCCTTTTGGTCCAGGCGTACAAGACCAATGCTGTCCATATATCTTTCAACAGAAGCAGGCTTCACTCCACATATTCTGACAACAACAAACAAGAAGGGTGTTGACGTCGTACTCAACTCGCTATCAGACTCGTTCTTGGCAGGACATGGGACTGCGTGGCCCATTCTATCCGCCTTGTTAGCATTACTAAAGTCAACACTGAAGCGAATCGGCACTTCGCGGGACCTTTTAGCCGGTGCGCTATTTACACTAGCTTCGACGTGATGTAGCTCACGGAATATCAGGGGCATCAAATCCATAAAGCTCTTGTGGAGGGTATCCGGATCATTCGAGAGCGCCACGGCGCACCGATTTACCCCATCAGCTCATTCTCCATGACCTATATGGCTGTGGCTATGAGCCCGATGCAGGCCCATGCCTTGATGACAAAGTCAAATCAGATCTCTTTCTTTTTCACCGCTCCGTTGTTCAGAGAAAAGGCGAACAGAGCTTTGGCGACAGCTCGTCAAGCGCATTCCCCCTTGTTGATCTGGACGCTGCTGACGCTACCTACTTGGTATGCGGCGGTATAGGCAGTAGCGGATGCGCATTCTGCAGATCATATTATTGGCAAGGGGGGCATGAACATCTCACTTGTTTCTCGCAATGTCAGCTCCCACTGTAACATTGCCAGAATACGCGAAAACGCAGAGGCTGTGAGATGTTGAGGTTTGATACTTGGTTGTGTTATTGCGGACGAAAAAAGTCTCGTCGAACTTTTGTGCGACATTGTTGCAGCAGGCCTGCCCCCAGTAACGGGCCGTCATCAACGGTGCCATGGGTTTGGACGCCACAGTCATGGAGAGTATGACATTCGTACGATGCTCCAACCATGTGCGACCAAAGATCAACAGCAGTTCCAACCTGCACAAGCACCTTGCTGGCCGGTTCCTCTACATCACGCTGTCATCTGTTGCTGGCCTAGCTGGTCACATATTCCAGGCAAAATATGCTACTGGAATGGCGTTCCAGGACACTCTCGCCCTCGATTTTGAAGTGGTGCAATCGGCTGGCTGCGCGGCATAGAGGGGAACAGGGGATGTTAGCATTTCCGTGTCCGGTTGATCTTCAAGTGGTTCGTAGACGGGTTGAGGCCGAAATAAGAGATCTGCCGCAACCTTCCCTTGCGGACCGCCAAATCATTGTCGGGCCTAATTTTCACATTTTTGCTTCAGAATCCACGACGAGATACGGCCACTGTTTGGTATGTTGAGGATTGCAAGCCAGATCGGACTCAATACGAGTGTAGTGCGGAATACGAAGTCCAAGGCGGCTTCGTTTGTCAAAGCTTTCTTCTCTGTGCCCAGCATTGACGCTGCCTCGAAGTTACTCATAGACGCTCTAGGCGCCAAGCTCTCCAACATCTTCATAATAGCGGTGTCTCATAGCGACCCTGAGCTACCGCTATCATGATGCGGTGTTGACTCTTTTGTGGATGTGAGTTGCGAAACTGGAGTAGAAGCATCGTCAAAGCCAGGGTTTTGGTGATTGAGATTCTCCAAACTGCATCTCTAAACGAATTCACTCTTCTGGTGGCAAGTAGAGGTAGATACTTGGCTGCTTGGGGCAAAGAGAAATGAACAGAATCCGAGTGGTGTGTTGGCATAAGTGTCTATAACTATGTATGCATATTGCGCTGACTAGGTCTAGGTTTTGTTAGTGCTAAACCTTGCCTATAGACGCAATATATGAGATTTGAGATCATACCATCCATAGATCCGTGCATGTATGTCTTACACCTTAAATACATCAATTTCTCCTTGTATTAAACTGAATCAAAATTGAACTATACTTAGCCTGGTAGATATTCATTAAACATTATGGATTACTACATACTACAGAGGTGGCTTTCAAAAGTTCTTGCTAAGGCACGGATCCATCGGACCGAATTCTCGTGATAACGTTTCCATTATTTACTTAGCGTGCAAGAAATAATGCCTAATATAGTTAGTGTATTACTGTAAGCGTATACTTTAGTAGCTATTATTCTCTCCAAACTTCCATTTTAAGGGCTTTTAGTTGCGAATATAGTATAATTCTTAGTCTTCGGCTATATTTTCGGTGGTAACCAAGGAACCCCTGTCAGCAAGAACTTTTGAAAGCCACCTCTGTACTTGTTGCAAACTTTTCACATGAATTACGTAGTTTGTTTGTTGTAAGTTGTAGAGCCGGGTAATACGGCCGAGATACACTCAGAGAATCCAACGTAAGCTTCGGAGCTACTGACAAAAGCTTCCGTGATTGGCTGTTTCCACATGCGTCAAATGAAAAACCAGACTCGCACTACTTGCTGTGTATACATACAAAAGAGCTCATGTGTGGACCCTATAGGTGGTAGGAGCTTATCAAGTTGCTCAGTGTAGTACTAATCCGAGATAGCCTCTTCTGCTCGTGCTGAGCAGAATTTGATAAAGCGTACAACCAGAGCAAGTGTAGTTGAATGCAGCGGGTCATGCATAATTATGTAGAGATCATACTAAGTAGCCCGTCTGAATGAATCTTAACTGCAGGCGGGTGTAACCCAAGACCTTGGTATGGGCTGACACAGTAAGCCTATTCAACCTCGAGGTCACCTCTCCAATCTCACTGAAGAAAAGATTACCGTGACAGCGGAGCAAGGTCCCACAATAAGCTTTAGGCTATGCAGACTCCCCAGTCCAAGTCCCTCCGAGCATTTCCGCCATGAGACCTTTGTTCCACCCAACAACAAGTTATGCTTTTCAGAACGACAGATTAGAAGGTTGCTTTCCCATGCAAAAAAAAAGCCGTGTCTCAGTAGTCAGCACGAACATCCTCATAACAACAGAAATCAGACATGATGGCTTAATCAGCGTTGAGATTGAGATCTACGCAATAGTCGAATTGAGGGGAATGTCTCCGAATGACGCAGGGCAAGAGGGAATAATAAACCTTGTGCAATAAGCCGGTGCTTATCTCGGTAATCATACAAGACGGAACCCTTGTGAGACTTATTTTTACATCGAACGATGGTCACGTATGCATGAATAAATACAGTAGCAACCCCAGATACGAAGTCCTCGCCACCGCTCTACTACCACCCTTCAGTACCTCCATCACACAGCACTCAGACGCTCTTTGTTCTCGGACCCGATTCAAAATGATTTATTCTCTTGTTTCCCTCTTCGCCCTGGCTGCCTCCAGCAGCCTCGTCGCAGCCGATGATGTGTACTCGTTCATTGGGGGAGAATGCAGTGGAAACGCCTACTTCTTCCAAGACGTTAGCCCTCAGGTTTGCTTGGTAGGCATTAGCAGGGCGAACACCAACATTAGCACGGCGATTGCGGAGGACCTTACCTTTGTCAGGTCTGGTCTGTTCGTCAACACCAACACGACTGTCGACAAGCTCTTCTTTGCCTGGACCGAAGGCCCAGACTCCAACAGTGACGGTCCTCTTCAGTGCGGATCCATCGCTGCACAGAAGAAATTTAACTCGAGGCGCGGCGCTCCTTGCATCAAAGCTCACAATGGTCAAAACTTCACTGCATTCAGCTGGGTCTACTCTCCTGAGGACAACGATTCCAACTCCGGCGACTCCTCCTCCCACTACAAGAGGCGAGAGGAGTACAAGAAGAGGCTAGCAGCGAAGACTGACTCCACAAGGTGCACAAGCACAAAGCACCCTGACGGTTGTGTCATCGACGGAAAGATGTACTCCTTCCAAGACGCTTCTCTGGCTGATATCCAGAAACTGAAGGCGCTGGTTGCCAACGGCAACCCTGTCCCCGATGACCTGCAGAAGCATGCCATGTAAGGGCGGAGCAAAAGCATTCCCAATCACTGCCGAGATGAGAGGAGGAAAGCGTGGTATTGGCCTTGAGCAAATTCTGTTTTACCCTCTCTTGTCAAAAGCCTGGCCGTCTGCATGGATCAAATAGACATGCGTAGTAGGGAACATAGTGTTTGTGAAATTGTAATCCTCTATTACATACTACCCTCTTGCTTGGGTTATAACAAACTCGAGTTTGATAGAATATACCTTTTAGCAGAAAACCATGACTACGCCTCTCTCTGCTCTTTAGGGGCTCTCCTAGAGTGTCGCTGTTTTGCAAGTGATTTTAGTACTGTATCAGCAGGTTTACAGCGCAGTAGGGCGCCAGATAGAAGAAGGCAGTGATCTAACACACAATACACGACGCAAGCTTTTTGGAGATATAGAAATTTGTTTATAAGACATGCTCGCCTTGGTAACAACTACTAGTTGTATCTACAACCACGGACTTGGTGCGAACACTCTGCACTGTACAAGGAGAAAGACTAGTGACCAAAAATATGTCGCAACGAACACGAACTGCCTCTGAACCTCGTTTATAGTGTCGAAGAGGAAAAGATCAATCCTTCACCTCTGCGGCTGTGAGACTATATACACTGCGACACATAGTAATCGACCTTCTGCTCGGATTCTCTCTTTTTTTCCTTAATAAAAGGATCTTTGTAAAATGTTTATCTTGTCAGTTAGTTCGTCTTGTACCACTCCTCTCATAGACTCGAAAACATGCCCATCTCGAACTGCACAGTCAAACACATCACACTGTGCACGGAACACGCGGAACGTGCAACCTGCAGGAGGGATGCAAACTCAGGGGCGCAGCAGCATCTTCCGGGGCCAAGAGAGGGGTGGGCTTAAGGTTCAATCGTGTAAGCAAACCTAACGTTCATGTGGCCGATCGACGGGGCCGGCGGATGTCGACACTAAATCATGCAGGAACCATTGGTACGTAATGAGAAAAAAAAAAGCTTTCTTGGCACTTGATACGGACTAAGGTTGTCCGTCACGAAGACTTGCAAGCACGCGAATCATGAGCACCGCCGTTGTATTCGGAAGAAATAAATTGGCAACGTGGTGATCCGTGAGCTATACCAGACTTTTTTTTGGCCCAAATCCCAAACGTGACTCGTTCTAGACATGAGAGGTATCATGAGGAGGAACGTGTAGAGTGATGAAGAGAAATCTCCGTAAACGCCGCCAGATGCAAAGAGACTTGTGTAAGATGATCGACTAAACAAAGATCGACAAGGTACCGTAAACGAACACGAGAGTACCTCTTATTCGTCCTGCTTGATCTCGAGCTTGGTTTTCTTGGGGCTGCCATTCTGGTCATCGTTAGCCTTGCGCTTGTTCGAGGCAGCAGCAATCTCAGTGTCGGTGCGCGAGTCCTTGACGACAGGGACACCGTAAGCATCACGCTCAATCTCCTTCTTCTTCTCCTCCTTGTGGTTGGCGCGGTCGTCCTTGCCGCTCTTGAAACGATCGCGACGCTTGTTCCAGTCACCACTGTCGACCGAGTCGTTGGAAGCGCTGCGGTCGCGGCGTCTGCGAGGAGAGCGATCACGGCGATTGTCGCGACGGTCGTTGCCTCCACGGCCACCACGACCTCCACCACGGCTGGATCCACGGCCTCCACGGCCTCCACCACGACGGTCGTTGCCCCGGCTGCGGCTGAAGTCGCCGTTCGCCTCGCGTTGTTTCTTGCGCCGCTCATACTTTTCCTGTTCAGTCAGCTCCCAGTCGGGTTTGATGCCCTTTTCTTTGCATTTCATTACAATGTATTCTTTCTTGCCCATGAAAATGAGCTCATGGCCGTTGAATTTGGGCTTGGGGTCGAGGGCAAGGAACTGCTTCTGCGAGTCTTCCGTGTCAAACTCGACAAAGACGCTACCCTTCCAGGCGCCATCGTCCTCGCGGCGCTTGCGAACCATGACGGAGCCGTAGGGGCGGAAGAACTGCTCAAGGGCAATCTGGCCAGCTTCCTCTTCGTTGCCGAATCCCTTGACGTAGGCGCTCCGCTCCATGGTGTTGGAGGAGTTGCTCCTCAGGCGGTAGAAGAGCTCCTCCGTGGTGGGGGGATTCTCGTCGTCGCCTTCCTTGGTGGGGACTACCAGTGGCTCCTTGCGCTTGACAGCTTCGCTGCCGGGCTTGCTGTACTCGCCATCGTCGACGACAACGAGGTCGTTGCTGTGGCGAAGGGCGTCTACAACCGCAGTGTAAGGCTTGAAGCGGCGCATGCGCTTGAAGGTGCAGATGTGGTGAATCGAGACGGGCTTGTTCTTGGGGCCCTCGAGCTCCTTGAACATGTGCTCGTCGGTTGCCAGATTCTGCGCAGAAAAGTAGAACTCAATCTGGGCGGGGTCAGCGCGCGAGCCACGGGCTGAGGAGTGGGGAGTCATACCTGAGCGCGGATCTCGTTGGGATCGTCTGTCTCGGGGAGGTCGTCAAACTCGCGGTTTTGCCTGCGCAATGTTAGTTGGCACGCGAGCAAGCGCAGCGGGAGAGGGAATGCGGGGCGCACTTCTTGTTGCGATTGTCGCGGAAATTGCCTCTGCCGCCGCGGCCGCCTCTTCCACCACGGTTGTCGCGACCAGAGCGGCCGTTGCGGTCGTGGCGGTCGGCGCGCTGGGCGCTCTTGTCGTCCGACTTGCCGTTGAGCTCCCACTTCTCCTCGCCCTGGGCGGCGGTGGAGTCGGCCTTGGGGTCGGCCTTGGAGTCGGCCTGGGGCTGGGCTGCCTGCGAGGCTTCAGCGGGCTGCGTCGTGGCCGCCGCGGCCGCAACGTTGTCGGTGTCGGCCATGTTCAGAGGGGGTGCAGCTGGAGTCGCGTCGGCGTGCAGAGGCGGCGAGGGGCAGTTTTGTGTTTGCAGAAGAAGAGGTCGGGGCGAATGCAGAGAAAAGGCGGCGGGTGAGAAGATAGCTATAGTTCTGCTAGTGGGGAAATTTCAAAGCAAGGGTCCATGGGCGCCAAGCCTTTGCTCAACCATGGAATTGCTGCAAATCGGCCGCCGCTGCTATCACGAGTGTTGTCCTGCCACTGCTGCCACGGCGACGCCAGCACCCCAATTGACCCGCGCCTCGCCTTCACCATGCCGAGGAAGAAGCCGCGGTTCCATTCGCTGAAGAAGCTGGTAGGCATCCATCCGCCTGTCGCCATCCGCGCCTAACACATGCCATGACAGAATGTCCGCCAGAACTGGTCGCGCTGGTCTCTGTACGCCATCTCGCAGCTCAAGGCGCCCAATACCGCCACCCGCAGCTTCTTCCAGCAGAAATGGACGGCCAAGGCGGCCACACGAGCATACCATGGCGAGCACATCCGGGAAAAGAAGTGGAAGCACATGTTCAAGCGAAATCTCCCCGCCGTGGTGCCCATGGACCATAGATATCTCGCCCGCCACGACGGATCAGAGCAGGCGGCCGGGCGAGGAATGGGCGCCGACACCGAGGAGCAGACGCGGACGCCGCCCATGACGCCATACATGCAGATGGCATACTATCCGCTCGAGCGCCGACTAGACACGGCCATCTTCCGCGCGCTTTTCGCCAGCAGTGTGCGGCAAGCCAGGCAGTTTGTTGTGCACGGCCTGGTCAAGGTCAATGGCAAGAAGGTGCGTTGGCCCCGGCCCAATTGGCCCACAATGCTCTCTGCGGGATACTGACTGCATCCCAGATGATATACCCCGGCTACGCCCTCAATCCAGGCGACATGTTCCAAGTCGAACCCTCGTCCGTCATGTTTGCAACCGGAGCCCCCAAAAGCCGCTCCTCGACTGCCCGCCGAGTGACCAAAGAAAAGGCGGCTGCCCGCGCCCAAGAGCGCGAACAAAACGGCGGCCAAACCCCCCGGCAACAAAACGACAGCGACGTGGTCATCTCGCAGTCCTCGCGCGAAGAACCCACGCCCACTGAACTCAAGAAGCAGCTCCAGGACCTGATGGCGCAAGTCGAGGGCGTCCTGGCCGAAGACGTCAAGGCAAAGGACAAGCAGAAGTTCCGCGCTCTCCGTGCAAGCATCCGGAAAGCCATAAGTCTATGGCGGTCGGCAAACCCCGAAACCATTTCGACGCTCGACGCACAGTTTGACTTTCTCAAAACGCAAATCGCCGAGCGTGCCGCCGCCGCGTCTTCGGCGTCGTCGAGGGACGTCACATCTGCACCCGAACCCCTCATCTCCGAGGAAGACCAAGCGCGCCTGCGGTCTGCCTTTGAGAAGCTCAAGCTCGAGACGGAGCACACATCAGCGTGGAACAAGCGCAATGCTTCAGCGCCGTATGCCACACCGTGGCGGCCAAGAGACTACATGAGCGCCTTTGCCTTTATACCGCGGTACCTCGAGGTCAACCAGAACATTTGCGCCGCCGTCTATCTGCGGCATCCCGTTGCGCGACCGGGGCTTGCAGAGGTGCCCACACCCTTCCCTATCGAGACGGGCCAGTTGGCCTTTAACTGGTACTTGCGAAACCGGTAGAAGGCATACTTTCACTACGTACGTCTGTGATGAATGAATGGCTCTAGGTAGAAAACCGCTACTCGGCGGGCCCACCAAATACATTGTACAACACCATGTTTAAACACGGTTGATAGTCCGCACACAGCATCTCTTTGATTCTTGCATCATGCTTGTTGATATCTGGATATTTATGTATATCTGCTGCATGCAATACAGATAGATGAGTCTTGCCGACAGTTGTGCGCCCCCAACTTACAAAAGGCGCTGGCTCTGTAGCAAGCTGAATATCTGGTTCCCGGTGATATGCGCACAAAACGATAAATCGGAAATATTGTACACGAGGACCGAACAAGTATTAGTGGGTAGTGTCCTCAGACTACTCGGCGGGATCAAAAAAGCGACAGGGCGCAGTGTGAAAGGTACCCCCGACAACGCCGAACCTGCAAAACGCTAACATGGAAAAATGGTTTTTATGTGATGACAAAAATGGCTCAAGATGCCATTGTGCGACGACACATATGGGGAATAATTGAAGGCAAAACAATGTACGTCAGATGGTCAGATATGAAGTCTTCAGTCGACGTCCGACTCCTGCTCGTCCAGGGTGAGAATGCTCACGGGGTACCGAAGAGTTTCTGCGCTAGGCCGAGGGCTCACGTCGACAACGCTACTATCGGGTGTCCAGTGCGAGCTCGCTTCGGACGTCGTTGAGGCGGCGGCGTATTGGCGGAAGCCATTTGCTACAACCTCGGACATGTCACGGTCTGAATCATAGCCAGGCGGTTCCGTGGGCGTGTCGGAGCGGTAGCTTGGTAGGCTTTCAGTTCGTGACAGGGGCCTTGACGGAATTTCGGGCAGCGACGTGGGCGGATATGTTGAGGTGGTTGACAAGGGCGAAGAGGGCGCGCGAGTGCGAGCGTGATTAATGGCTCGGCCTTCTTCGGCATCCCTCACAAGATCATTGACGACATCATGCGCCGCCCTCAGCTGCCGAATCTCTTCTTGCATGGCGTCCTCAAGGATACTTTCCTGTTCGCATATAAGTGCTCTCTTCTCTTCGTAGTCGAAAATGCGCTGGCTGTCGCGCTGTGCCCAGTTGCCGCGCCATCGGTTCCGCCACCATGTGCTCCATGCATGGTGGCGAGCAGCACGGCGATAGGCACGAGCATTGTTTCGTTCTTCGCGAGCAGCGGCGCGCTCAGTGCGGGTGCGAAGGCTGCTGCATTTGTGGCGGATTGCAGCGAAAAGACAGCCGCAACAGAGGATGGTCAGGGTAATCTCCAGAGCCACGACAAAAGGAGACTCTTTGGTCGGTCGGGACGCAAGTTCAGCCTGGTATACGTTAGCTTCGGGTGCAAACGCAAACGCTAACAAACACTCAACATACTGCTACTGCTACGTATGGTTGGGGGGCCGATGGTGTGTCGCTCAAGTGGTTTTCGGAAACACGTGTCGTCGCCTGTGCCACATGCGTATGCGCCTGAGCAAACTCATGCTCTGGATTTCCCATCTCTTCCGCTCCTTGATCCGATTTGAGCCGGATGTATGCTACTTCCCACACGCCGTGGACTTTTTGGACAATGGTTTTGAAGACGCACGAGATGCTGTGGCATTTACCCAGTTCTTGCGCGACCTTGTGCACTTCGTTTTTCAGTAGCAAACGGAACTGGAGCCTGATGTGCGCCTTTTTCTCGGCGACCAAAGACTTGAGTGCTTCCAGTTCGCTCTCGAGGTCTTTGAGCTGGCGGATTTGGTCCTCCAAGGACTCGAAGTCTGGGGCTTCCGACACAGGCTCGGCGGGCTTCTCGGATAGCGCGAGACGCAGGGCCTGGGGCGGCTCGCGCCAAGATTCAGCTACGTCCTTGTCGGTCGCCGAAGGGTTGGGGGTGGACTCGAGCCTGAGCAGCGACGGGGGCGACGTGTGCTGCTTGTAGGAAACGGTGAAACCAGATGGCGGGTCAATAGGGTTGCCGTCGATGGCCTTGATGTTGAGTGTCAGGACTTGAGCAGCTTCCGCCTCGTCGTTGCCGTGAAGACAGGCAGTCGTCCATTCGAGGTCCAGATGGCGCTGCAGAAACCACTCATTCTGTGTGAGGTCGGCGACAGCTTGGTAGGAACCCGAGCCAGATGCAGAGTGCCGTCAGCAGGCCTAATGGAAGCTGCAACGGATATCAGCCAAACTGCAGGCAAGCCATGGCGGCAGTGTGGGCAGACATACCATGGCGTTGGGCGGGTGATATTGCGCAGTCGCAGTTGGGGCGTATGGCACGGGATACTGCAGAGAGAGAGAGAGAAAAAAAGGCACAATGGATGCAGATGGCCGTGTCGCGCAGAGACTGGCAGGTGTGGTTGATGCTGGCGAACAATGGCATGGCACCATGTTCAATCCACGGCTCCGCGAGGCTGGCTGGCCCAAGCTTTCGGCGGGCCTTGGCAGAGCAGCCCTACCAGCCCAGCTACGAGCATCTCGCTCGCATCCGGGTGCACAAGGCAAAGGGCGTGGATAATCAGCCAGTTCAGCTCGCACGCATGCTGGCGGCTCGCTCGTCCGCCCGGCCGAGTGTTTCAGCGCGATGCATTCTGCATAGTGCAGGGCCAGCTGGGGGAGAGCGGACGTCTAAGCCACTAGCAGCCAGGCGCCCCAGGTCAGTCGCAGTCGTAATATCTTCTATCTAAAGCACACTCGCACGCTGGTGCCTGATCGCATCCTCTGGACTGCTGGCAACAGCTGTCCCATAACCCGCCAGCGTCCGCCCGCTTTGCGCGACCACGACTGTCGCTGCGGCCGCCCTGTCCCTCTCTCGCTCGCGCCCCCGTCGCCGTGCTCTTCTGCCCTCCCGACATGCCCTCGTTCAAGTCCAAGTGGCTGTCTGCCTGCGCGTGGGCGGCACCCGTGCTCGCCGCCGTAATCCCCGGTCACCACCAAGCCCCCGCTGCCAGAACCGACGGCGGCCGTCGCGTGCATCTCGGTACGCACCCCTCTTATAAATACTTACATGGTGCTGCGTCTCCGTAGGCTGCTGCTGAACTCTGCCAGACGTCCAGGACAGCTACGCGCAAGCGACCTTCAGCGTCCCCTGCATTGGCTGTCTTGGCCATCATCACACGGACCACGATGACGAGTCTCTGGTAAGGCCCACCTCCAGGCAACTAGACGCCCTCGTCTTCATCCTCATCCCACCACCCGCCCTCTGCTGACCGCGCCCCCCCCCCCAGATCCTGAGCTTCACCAGCCACTCCCAAGACCATGCTTGTGGCTCCTCCAACATCACCCTGAACGGACTGTACCTTCCCCAGGAGTGGAACGGAGCGCGACGGGCCACCCGATGCTCGTCGAGCTGAAGAGCGGCGAGACGCTCAATGGGCTGCTGGTCAACTGCGACACTTGGATGAACCTCACGCTGCGAGAGGTTGTGCAGACGAGCGCAGACGGCGACAAGTTCATGCGGCTACCAGAGATCTACGTTCGCGGCAGCACAGCACGTCTCCACGTCCCATTGCTTCAGGCGCGAGACTAACGTGTGGGCAGATAAAATATCTGCGAGTTCCCGACGAAATCGTCGACATTGTAAAAGAGCAGCAGGCCAAGGACCAGGCGAATCGGGGAGGTCGAGGAGGCGGCATGCACGGCCGGGGAGACCATCGCGGTGATCGCGGTGGCGGAGGCAGGGGCACGAGGGGGAGAGGACGTGGTCGTGGAAGAGGTGGAGGCGGTGGAGGCGGTGGCGGCGGTGCTTGAAAGGCTTCACGTCCAAGTATGCCTGGGCCATTGGCTGATATGCACGAGGCACAAGGCGACGGCTTGACGACTCTGCTGGGGTGTTGATACTCAGGCACAGCACTGGGGGACCACACAGGCTAGCGTTGCGAATGGCCCTGTTCAGCCGGGCGCGTGCACGCTCCATTGCATCACGAGATACCCTAATTGTCGACTTGTATATGAGCAGCACCACTCGCCTTGCAGAGCCGCACGTCAATAGTTGAGCTTCACCGCCGTCTCTCGTTCCCTGTCGTCAGTGTAGCAGCCAATGTGCAAGCCTCGGCATAGCCCCGACCCCGCAGCCCATCATTGGCAGCGCAAGCCGTGGGACGCGTGCCAGAAGAAACACATTACATGCCCATTTCGCATCTTGGTCCTAGTTGAGACAGGGTCGGGGCAACCATGTGGTCTGGGCAGAATCGCACCTTGATCGCGGGGCATCGTCTCCCCGGTTCTATACTGACCATGGGCTGTTGGCCTGGCAAAAAAAAAGTATTTAAAAGAAGGCAGCCCAGGTTCCAAGATGCATTCAGTACACTCGCGCAACAATGACTACCTTCACCATTCCAGACAGCCAGCTTGACGCCATCAGAGACCAAGTGGTCCTGATCACGGGTAAGACACGACTCCCGCAACGTATGGCATCGTCACGCTGACTGTAGACGTCAGGCGCATCGTCGGGCATCGGCCTCGCAACACTACGTCGAGTCATCCAGCATGGAGGCAAAGTCTTTGCCAGCGACATCAATCCGCTGCCGCAGCCCGAAGGCGCGTCGGTCCCGTTTATCAAGGCCAATGTTGCGTCATGGCAGGACCAAGTCGACATGTTCAAGGCTGCCGAGAAGGAGTATGGAAAGATTGACCATGTGTTTGCGAATGCGGGCGTGGGCATGTCGGCACCACTGGTCGACGATGAAGTTGACGAGAAGGGCGAGCCACGGCCCCCGAAGCTGGATACCATCAACATCAATCTGATTGGCGTCATGTACTCGGTAAAACTGGGCATACACTACCTCAGGAAGAACCCGTGCGGTGGCAGTATTGTCACAACAGCCTCCGGCTCCAGCTTTACCAGAGTCGAGCTTTCGGATTACTGTACGTTGGGCCATGTCTCTCTTTTGTTGTGCAGCTCAAGCTAACACGGTGCAAGCCATGTCAAAGCATGCTGTGCTTGGCCTTACGCGCGCCCTGTACCGAGAGCTTCACCCCAAGCTTCCCATCCGCATCAACTCGATTGCGCCATCGTGGACAGACACGGCCATTGTGCCGCGCGAAGTGATTGCCTTGTTTGGCGAGGGCAGCTACCAGACGGCCGATGTGGTTGCTCGGTCAGCCATGATACTCATGGTAGACCAGACGCGGCACGGCGAGATGGTGTACAGCGATCGCGGCAAGTTTGTCGAAATGGAAAACGGAGCAACGGGCTTCCATGCCCAGACCAAGAAGACGCTGGGGTTTGCAGAGGACGAAGAGACGAGCGAGGCAAAGGCTTGGCAAAGGGCGCAGGAGGGATTTGCCGCTGCTGCATCGTAGCGCAAGAATGCTTCCTAGCGTGTGCTGAGTAGGACAGGCAAGGTTAATTTCCATCACGTCTTGGGGTAATGGCCCTAGTTGGCGAACCCCTCACCATCATCATCAGCAGCAGCAGCATCAGCATCATCAATTTTAGATTTGAGTTTTTTTTGGGTCATCATATTTTGCGCTCTATCGACCAAGCTCTTCCACGACCTCTGACATGTGTTGACATTGGGTTTTGGGCGAGATGGCGGGTGGTAGACAAGAGTCATAGCCACAGACTGAGCTGATTGTGACGGAAGGGCGGGACCAATTGCGTTAGATCAGATGATCGGCAATAGATGCTGATGATTCGGGACGATCATGGCGGCGTCCCGGAAGGAGCATGCCTAAACGAACCTGGGCAATGCCTGCAAGCAAAAAAGAAAAGAAAATATCCTTGTTCAGGCCAGAATAGCACAAGTGGGGAGAATGAGTTGCGAACAGCAGGCTGGAAAAAAAAAGGTAATGGGATGGCAATTGGCAAAGCAAGAAAGAATAAAGTAGTCATGGTCAAAGCATAGACATGGCCATAATCACATTCCATCATAATAATACCGATGGGCACCAGATGGGCCCGAATGCGCGCTGACCCGCCAAACTTCGATACGCCAAGTATAGGCATACCGAGGTATAAAACTGTCGTTGCAGACGTCACGAGGCCGTGTTGGGTCATGTAGGTGTGTCCACGGCAACGGCCTGACCGGTTTTTTTTGCTTCTTTTTCTGATTTTTCCTGGGGACCAGAGAACGGTCGAGACATGGGCGGTGCAGCAGCAGCTGCTGGCAGACTGCATCAGTGTCAGTGTCAGCATCCTTATCCAACGGGCAGTTCGCCAAGCATGCACCGTCTTGGCTGGAGGCGTGGCTAGTATAGGTGTAGACTGTACAAGTAGGTGCCAGTTACGAGTACATGTAAGTAGCACGGGGGCCCCGCGACCTCGTTCCCCGGTGGGGCATGCATCGTGAAACTCTGCCACCACCACTGTCAGCAGCCCGTGGCCGTCAAATCTCTGGGGTTGCTCCGCACACAGGCCGAGTGGAACGCTTTGCGTCTGTGCACCCACCGACTTCTCCTCGTCGCGGTTAGCCACGACCGCCCATGGCCCTTGGCATCCTCAGCCATGTGTGCATACTTGTAGACACTGGCCTGCCGCCATGGGTCAGGTACGTATAAAGCCTTGGTGCACGCTTAGCCCTCCGCCCTGCCTGCACACGCCGCCGCCGCCGCCGCTGTCTCTCCACCATGGCAGACGCTCTACCTGAAAAGCACTCGGCCGCCCACTCGGCCTCCAGTCAGCAGGAAGACGCCGCCTCCCACAACCCCCATGAAATGGCCGGCCATGGACACGCTGCCACCGACATGTAGGCGGCCCCCTCCGCCCTCGACGGCTGCCATCTTGCTGTTCCCCGCCTAACCACCCTCCGCAGATACGGCCGTGCCCTGGCCGACTTTGACCCAAAGGCCGAGTCACGCCTGAGGCTCAAGATCGATCTGTACATCATCCCCACCGTCTCCATTCTCTACCTCTTCTGCTTCATCGACCGCGCAAACATTGGCAATGCTCGTCTGGCCGGCCTCGAAAAGGACCTGCACCTCAAGGGACACGACTACAATTCCATCCTGTCCATCTTCTACATCAGCTACATCCTCTTCGAAATCCCCTCCAACATTTGCTGCAAATGGATGGGCCCCGGCTGGTGTGCGTATCCTCTCCCAATGGCCAGTCCAGTGACGCGCTCGTGTAGAAGCCAACTGACGCGCCCGCAGTCATTCCCATCATCTCTCTTTGCTTTGGCGCTGCCTCGATAGGAACTGCCTTTGTGCACAACAAGGCCGCCGTCTCGGGCGTCCGCTTTGTGCTGGGCATCTTTGAGGCGGGCATGCTTCCTGGCATCGCCTACTATTTGTCGCGATGGTACAGACGCTCAGAACTCACCTTTCGCCTCTCGCTGTACATTGTCATGGCGCCTCTAGCCGGCGCATTTGGCGGCCTGCTCGCCTCGGCCATTCTCACGCTCGATTCCTTTGGCTCGCTCAAGCGCTGGCGCATGATATTCGCCATTGAGGGCATCATCACCTGCTGCCTTGCCCTCATTTCCTTCTTCACGCTTACTGACCGCCCGGAAACGGCTCGCTGGCTGACGCCCGAGGAGAAGGATCTGGCCATTGCTCGCGTCAAGTCTGAACGTGTAGGCCAGAACGAGGTCCTGGACAAGCTGGACAAGAAGAAGACGATGCGCGGAATCTTCAACCCCGTGGTCCTGACGACGGCCTTCATCTTCTTGCTGGACAACATCACAGTGCAGGGCCTGGCTTTCTTCGCACCCACCATTGTCAAGACCATCTACCCAAAACACTCGGTCGTGTCGCAGCAGCTCCACACGGTGCCACCATACGTTGTCGGCGCCTTCTTCACACTCCTTCTGCCCTATTGCAGTTGGCGGTTCGACAGACGCCTCATCTTCTTCATCATTGCAGCGCCCTTGATCATGATCGGCTATATCATGTTCTTGGCCAGCAAAGACAGCAGCGTCCGTTACGGTGCCACGTTTTTGATCGCTTCAGGAGCCTTTTCATTTGGTGCGCTGTGCAATGCCCACGGTTCAGCCAATGTAGTCTCAGACACGGCGCGAGCCTCTGCCATCGGTAAGTTGCCCCCAGCCGCGCTTGAGGACTCATGAACATACTAACAAAATTTCCCCAGGCACTATAGTCATGTTAGGCAACGTCGGTGGGCTCATCTCAACATGGAGTTTTCTTCCAAATGATGGCCCAAATTACCCCATTGGCAACGGGCTCAACCTAGCAACCAGCAGTGTAACTCTTGTCACGAGCATTTTGCTTTTGTTTTGGATAAAGTGGAGCAACAAGAAACGTGAAAATGTCAATGCGGACGCGGAACTGGCGGGCAAGTCTGCCCAGGAGATTGAGGATCTTGACTGGAAACACCCGTCTTTCCGGTGGAAGGTTTGAGGCTCGGAATGTGGGAAAGCTATGGTTTTTGCGTGTTGAGATTAGATGGTACTCGCCTTGCAAATGCAGTGTTGCACAGTGCACATGGCAGCTGTACCATGTGACATGTAGTCTGCTGGTTGAGTTTTGTCAAAATGCCTCAAATCAGCCATGACGATGCCTACTCCAGGAGGGTAGTTATCTCGAAGAAGTATCGAATCCCATAAAGCATTCTGGATTGGAATGGTAGAGTGCAGAGCTAGCCCTGAGCTAGCCTAGTATATGTGCGTATTATTATTATTATTATTATTCCATTAGAGTCTATCTGCAGTCAGTGACTATGTAAGACTTTGGCCAGAGGCCG